TCTCATCATCACCCCTGGACAGGAGATTTCTAATTTTTGCAATATTCCCCAGATGAAAAAAGGAAATTCTAGATTTCCATTAAAGATGATAAATACAGAATTCAAGCAGAAATAGATTTAGTGTTTTATGAGGTAAAGAGAAAAGTCATCTAAGAGTCTTCGTTGAAATCATAGACAAATAACTATTTTAATAAAAACTTATTAAATAATCAATGTATGTAGACATTAGTATTTTTATGCAGAATGATTACTGATAAAAGTAGGTCAGTAATGACAATGTAAAAGATGTTCGCTCAAACCTGAAAGAATTTTATCCACTATACCTTTTATTTAAAAAGCACAGATGTTTAAATATATGCGTCTATTTGTTAGCTAAGGCTGTGGGAAAGTATAGTTTGTCTTTACTTAGAAAATATGGATGTTTTGCTCGTTAATTTTCCTGTTGGAACAGTGGAGATTGACACTGAGGTTCTGGTGCCTATCCGCTTTCGGCCACCCTTTGGTGTACATTGGTTATTGCCTGGCCAGCCTTATAAAAATGTTCTGGCTACGCCTCTGAAGATCGACACTAAGCATATGAGTAATCAGTTAAGTTTGCTTCTGATGGTTAACGATAACATTTAAAGGTTTTCATTATGAATGTAAAAATGGTTAAAAATTGCGTTTCAAGTGCAAAAACAGCAACTATTATAGGAGATGAATATCATTTCTAACATTAGATAAACCATTTTGGTCTGTATTTCTGTGTCTCCTACATTTTAGAGTGTTTATCACCATTGCACTGCTAATTTTATGTTCTGAGATCTATAGGTTACCATGTATATTTACCAGAAGTACATAAAACCTGAGGCAGACTGCAGTTTGCATATAATCTGAAGCGTATCCTGTTTTCTTAGCTGATACGGTGGTGTTTGTGGTTCCTTTCTTAGCACAGCACTTATACCTTCTATAATAGAATTCTATATCTTAACTCACTGTAATCAAAAATAATGAGCTCTGATTAGTTGATTTATTTCAATACTCCATTTGGTATTGCCCAAAACCTTGTCTCTGATGAAGCTTTTCTAATTAACCCCTTTCTCCTTACATTGTGATCAGTTGCTGTATCCAGATTATGTTAAGAACAATTCGATTTTTTGGTTTATATTATAAATATGTTATATTTATGTCCTGAGAATTAAGAGACGTATATGACCACTAATTCAGCAAAGAGCTATTTAAATCAAAGCATAAAATTCTAGAAATGTAGTTATTGACAGATCATTAGTGGCACTGTATTTCCAATTAAAATATTTTTATATAGAATTATATTTCTACTTAATATGACTGAAACAAAAGTTACTAGTTAATAACTTAGCTGAGATATTTAAAAGGACTAAGAAGTCTAAAGTAAACCTGTGATTAGTGATTCATAAATCAATGAATCTGCAGGTTAGGGAATTTTGTTGTCGTTATTAAATGCATCAAAACTGAAATCTCCTTTTTCTATTCAGTAAATTCTTTTTCAAAAGGCGTGCTCCTTTACAGTCATTGTTTATAATTTAGTAACATTTAAATCAAGATTAGTATCAGTTGCATAGAGGGTTGTTTTAATCCTCGCCCTTATCTGTTGGTAAAACTTCTATGTTTAAATGTGCAGCACACTTCTGGTTGATGTTTAAGTGCAAAATAAAAAATATAAGTAAAATTCTTTGTTTGTTGTCGACCTGAAAAGTGCAGTAAAAAGTGGTTGTCTTTGTCTTTCTGCTTTTAATAAAAAGAAGTGCAATGGTTTCAAAGTTAATTAACTCATTTATTTCCCTTCTTTAATTTTTCCGCCTTTAGCCGTGCTAAGGATGTGGTGGCTGCAGCTCGGCCGCCTGTCCGCTTCTTCTCTGCCGAGGCCCCGGTAGTGGACCTCTACTTGGGTCAGCTAGACCAGGTGAGAATCACAGAAACGTTGTGGGATGAGGAAGGCTGAAAACAAAAATTCACTTTATCACCTTTGACTTTACCCTGTGGGTCGATATAAGATGACAGCACAAACACTAAACAAGGTATGAATCTGAAGACAACAAAAAGCCTGGAGGTCTAAATACTAATATCTATTTTTGGGAACAAGTATCAGATGCAAATGATAACAAGCCAGGTTTTGGTATGCCCAAACCACTTAATTAGATTAGATTAGATTAGATTAGATTCAACTTTATTGTCATTTCGCAGGTACAGGTACAAGGCAACGAAATGCAGTTTAGGTCTAACCAGAAGTGCAATAGCAGCAAGTGCAGGATAAATTATGTTTCCATAAATACAGGACATGGGTTTCTACTGAATAAATATAGAGATGAATACCATTATAAACAGAATTTTACTAATAGATTTGTCCTATGAATATAATATATAACTAGTGTTATGAACTAAATTTACAGCTGGATATGTACCGAATATAATATACAAGTGGATATTACTATAAAAAGCCATATACAGATGGCTTTTACTATAAAATGAATAAATCAAGTTTGGACAGAAGCTATCTAAATTAAAGTGCAGTGGGAGGTAATTGCATATTACAGTTAATGTACGGTATTGCAAATGTATATGTAAACAATTGGTACTGTATACAAGCAGCATCCAGAGGAAACTCAAATTCATACATTATTTTCTGCAGGTGGAACGCCTTCGGAGCATGGCTGAGGTGTCTCTTATTTTCTTTTACGCTCCTTGGTGTGCCCACTCCATGGCTGCCCGGCAGGAAGTGCAGCAGGTTGCTAAGAAACTGGCCAAACAGGTAATGGAGTTGAAGAGAAAACTGATTCCACCACCACTACGCTGCAGGAGCATTTTAATGGGGAAACAGCTACAGACAGGCTGCTTAAACAACAGCTCCTATTTTATTTTCTATATATTTATTATCTATTATTTGGGGGTTTCCCCTTGTTTTTTGGGGATTATTGCTAGATGGGATTATCTAAATGGGGAGGTTTATTTATTTTTATTTTTTTACCTTTATATAAAGGTACTTCCTGCAGGATTTTTTTTCTTTCTGATTCAAATGTAAAGGTTTTATTTTGATCTTCTAATTTAGAATTTATTATTCTCAATCTCCTCTAATTCTGTAATTTCTAAAATTTGATTGCTGTATGAAACATTTTAGCTTTAATGTAAGTTACATGGCTATGGAGTCATGCAAGATATTGATACTACATTTACAGTCATCAGCATAACTAAAATAATGTTAGTTAATAGAGGATTTAAGGACAGTGTAAAATACATTTATTTCATGACCCCATGCAAGTGTGTAAAGGTTTCGACGTCATCTTGTGCACCCTGCCATATCCAAGCATGACTTGATATTTTTGTCAAATCCACATTGGTAGTAAAATAGTGCTCTGTCTCTTGTCAAACCAACCATTTTACCACATTAAGGAGTTGCATTAAGCATTGATGATGAATGGTGATGTGTTTGCTTGTAGAAATTTAAAACAATATGTCTGAAAGCATCCCTTTTATTTTCTTTTTTAAACCTGCTCATGTAAACAGATCAACTTATCTATCCAGTCAAAGACTTTCCACTGAGCTAACCAAGCAATTATTGGTTAAAAATGCAAATGAGGTTTCTGTTATTCCATTTAATTTGACTTGATCACCTTTATAGTGACTTAGACACCATACAATTTGCAATACTAAAAATAAAAATTGTACATTTTGTGAAAAAAACAAAAACAAAAAAAAAAGTTCAGTGCTAAAGCTAATTTTGCAGGGTGTTTTGGTGAACTTTGGCTGAGAATATTTGAATATTTAATTTGCTCTAGTTTCATTTGTGCAGCTTTACTGGTTTCTGTGTTGCAGGTGCAGTTTGTGGCTGTTAACTGCTGGTGGAGTCAGGGGAGATGCAGGAGGCAGAACCGTTTCTATCACTACCCCATCATCCATCTGTTTTATAGAAGGTAAAGAGGAAAAGCGGAAATAAAACAAAAACCAGAAGAAATAAAGAGCTCTCTTTGTCTGTCAGTGAATGTAGCAGGCGGTTATTGATTTGATGCTCATTCCCACACATTCAAATATTCAGGGTTACTGCTTCCAACTCTGTGTTGTTTTTTTTAACATGGCTTTTACTTTTAAAAGAGTGTAATTTAAGAGGTTCAGTTTCATTTTTTTTAGTTGGCAAAAGTAGGATTCAAATTTACTTACCTTATTGCTATGAAATCACCTTAAAAGCTAAATTCTAATACACTGCAAAAACAATCTGGAAATGAGTAAAACATTATTAAATTAAATGTTTTTGTCCTTAATTTGAGTATGTAAATAAGGTGATTTGCCAATAGAATGACTAGTTTACTCTTAAAATAAAATGATTAGATAACATGCACCTGAAATAACACAATGCAATAGTTTCTTTTCTTATTTTAATGTAAATTGTCTTGCTCCTTTGTCAACGTGTCTCACTTACCTCCTCAGTTCAAGAAAAAATGCACTTATTTTAAGAAAAATTACTTATTTAGATTACAATTTTTTTGCAGTGTAGCTATCACAATGGATGTGTACAATCATGGAATCACAAAGGAAGACTGGATGAATCGCTCCCTGCTTGTCAATAGTATATTTGACCAGTCGGAGGGATTCTTGACTGTCTGACCAGGCAAGATGTAGCTTTTAGCAGCTGAGATTTACAGAGAGAGGTCGATGAATATAAATACACTTTAATGTTGATGTCACCTTTTCTGTAGTGATGTTTTGATTACATTATTTTCCTATAGCTGACCTTGAGCTCTGCAGATGCAAATGATTCAGATTGTTTTATTGGTACATTAGTGGAGGTGGCGCTGCTAAGATGGAGTACTGTAATGGTCATTGGAAGCATCGTCGTAAACTTTTTCAGAATTTTATGAACTTTTTTTGTCATTCCACTGTCACAAGTACTGAGCAAGAAATGAACTCTCTGCGTTTAACCCATCCTTGGGGAGCAGTGGGCTGCCATTGTGTGGCACCCAGGGAGCAGTGTGGGGTCAAGGGTCTTGCTCAGGGACCCAGAGTGGCAGTCTGTGGTAGTAGGGCTTGAACTCAGAGCCTCGGGACTCCTAACGCAATGCCCTACAGCCACTAGGGTGACTTACCACCTCATCTAGCCAGCCGCTTAAACGTTACGTAAATATTGCTTATTTGTTACCAGTTAGCCTTGCCAAGATGAATTGAAGCTATCTGTTTTTCTGTATATATATACTTTTTACAGCTGAGTAGTTTGGTGATGTATTTCCTGTTTGTGTCACTGCAGGTTTGGACCAATAGAGTACAGAGGTCCCTTTGTGGCTCCGTATATTGAAAGCTTTACTCTCAGAGTGATCACACCACTAACTTACCTCCCAACCAGAGCACACCTGGAAGACTTCCTGTCCTACCATGAGGTATTCTATGGTTTAAGGCTATTAAATGGAGACTTGAATGAACAAAAGGTTGCCTGCTGATTGTCTCTAGAAACTGAGGAGCTTTAAGGATGGTTTTAACTATCATATTCAACCTCCTGTTTGGCTGCTTACATTCTGCTCTCTGTTCTCTAACCTATTTGCAGCCTGGTGTTGTGGGATTCTTCCAGTTTAACTCCTCTCCACAGCCGCCTGGGTATATCACCTATCTGTCCTCTGCCCTGCAGGCTCTAAGAAGAGGTAAGAAATAAACCCACTGTTTTATGATGATACTGTTTTCCCTATATTTCTTTGAGTTTTTTTTTTGGTACAGTCATATAGGAAGAGATTAGATTGTGATGGTCGGTACTGTAAAGGGAAAAATTAGGTGGACTATAGGATCAATAAACCCTAGATTTATTTTTTCCCTGCTGTCTGATAGGATTTTGTCAGGCTTCAGCTGTAGGACAGATCGCCTCTATTCAGATTCTTGAATACTTTAGGATTCTGAGGAGTTTGGGGCTAATCATTATTATTCGATTTCTCAGCTTATTTGGTTATGGAATCGAATGAAAAAGTGAAATATAGATACTGTAAAACATGCCATTTGTGGAAAGTGTAATGGCTCAGCATTTATTAAGCACACTGCACCAAATAGCTTTACCCGCTTCAGTTTCTGAAGCGCTTTACAAAAGTATAAAATTTGTTGTCGAAGAAATATTTTTTTTCTTTTTTTCTTTTTTTTTACATTTATGCCATTTACAGTTCATTTAAAATGAATGTACAATAAAAAAAATTGTGTTAAACGTTTGTTTAAAGGTGTGTTAAATTAGTGATAGCATCTCTTTAAATTCATCTTTCGATTATTCGATGCATTATTTAATTGCTAAAACAATCAATAACTGCAGCCCTAGATTACTTAATTATTAATCTCACATGGGAGAAATGTATCTTTCCATTTAACCCATCTTTGGGGAGCAGTGGGCTGCCATTGTGTGGCGCCTGGAAAGCGGGGTGGGGTTAAGGGTTTTTCCCAGAGATCCAGAGTGGAGGCTGTGGGGATCAAACCGGGTACTTGCAACCTTCTCAGAGCACAACCGTACTGCTCTAACCCACTAGGCCAACACTTCCCTGTATAAGAATTAGCCCAGATGATCACTCCTCTACCACCGTACCTGACATCTGTTACAAGCTGCTTATGCTAATTTGCTGTTTTTGGTTTTCTGTAGAAATGACTCTGTGTGCATCTTTGATATATATTTCCTTTTTTAGCCTCTTTGTTCTAAAAGTCTTGCGGGTTACTTTAGATGGAATTTGGCAAATCTAATTTCTTCTTTTTCATCTCCTTGCATTGCTTTCTCTTTTTTATACCCTACATGTTTCTTATTACAAACTTCTTCCAATAGCAACCGAAAGAGGGAAAAAAAACAAAAAAACAGAAGGAGGTGAAAGAAACAGGCCTTGAAAGGCAAAACATATCAGATATTTACCAAAGCGAAAATTTAAGACATATTATATTATCAAACGGGCTGCACTGTGGGTAGCACTGCTGCCTTGCAGCAATAAGGTTCCTGGTTCGTTTCCTGGCCCTGGGTCTTTCTGCATGGAGTTTGCATGTTCTCCCTGAGCATGCCTGGGTTCTTTCCTGGTACTCCGGCTTCCTCCTACAGCCAAAAAACACGACTGTTCGATTTATTGGTGTGTGTGTGTGTGTGTGTGTGTGTGCGTGAATGGTTGTCTGTGTTGCCCTGTGATAGTCTGGCTCGTGCATTGACAGCTGGAGAGAAGCACCAGCACCCCTCGCGACCCCAGCAGGGATAAACGTGAAGGAAAATGGATAAATGGATGGATTATTAAACATGTTTCTAGTTTTATCAGAAAGCCTCACATTTTCTTTCTTCTGTCAAGAAAAACTTCTCCTTCAAACATCCATGCCTCTTGCTTCCTCCTTTGCCGATTTAATAATAAACAAATTAGTTTTCCATATAACTTTGTGTTCTCAGGTAATAGTTTTACTTTGTATATTTTATCTTGCAGATTTCCATGGCATTGTGAGGTTTGGAGTTGTGACGAGCAAAAACGTAGCAGAGACCATCTCAGTTGGAGAGGATGAAACGGTCTACCTGCACAGAAAGTTTAACTCCTCTTTGGTAGGCAGCATCACCGGCCCAACTAAATATTTAAATCAGAAAAACTAGAATGTTATAAAATGGAAATTACACTTTTGCTTTGTTTTTTTTCTTAAGACTTTTCCAAGAAATAAGCGAAACTTCACATCAGATGCTATCTGCAGTTGGGTGTTTGAACACTACCAGACGGCCCTTCGGTGGCTGCATCCGCCAGGAACCAAGTCCCGCATGCTGGAAGAGGAGTTGATGAAAGGCCCCGCGCTGCTTCTGTTCATGCCACACAACCCTCTGCAGTCTGAGCCAAGTGCTGTACTACAGCAGGTGATCACTCCTACACCACATGGCGTCATTAAGCATTTATTTGTTCTTTGAAATGAACATGTTTCACTAACTGTGGCCCAGAGGGTAGCCGTCTTGCCAGATTCCAGGTTCCTGTTGCTACATGTCGATGTGTCCACTTAAGGATGTAAACAAACGATTGACTAACTATTACTAACTGTTGATTAATGTTTTAGATTAGATTAGAACTTCATCCATCTGATTAATTGGTAACATCTGCTTTTCTAGTAATGTCACTGTCATCCACTACAGCTGTTTATCATATGCAGAGCCTATCATATGCACTGGTTATTGCAAAATGCCAGCGCAAAGGGCTTCTCAAGCAGAAACATGAATCGATCCAGTGTGGTCCGGAAAATTTCAATAGTTTCATGACAAAAATGAGGCAGAATGGACTTTATGTGGTTCTGTTTGTAAATATAATATATCTTATAAATAGGTCTGAACAAAATTTCTGTGCTTTGTTTGGAAGTTTAGGATTTGATTATAGAAATATTAGATTTCATAAAAAAAAAGGAGAGCGATATATCAGTTAGAATCCAAGTCATTGAAAGAAATGGTTAAAGGCCTGAACACACGGAATCCGATTTTCTGTCCGATCAGACAGAAAATCATGTCGGACGAGCGCTTATGAAAGTTAACAGGAATGATCACATCTGACATATTTTTACGAAAGGGGGCTGCGTAGGTCCAACTGAGATAGACCCCAGGTCTATTTTAGTCAGGCTACACAGCAATTCAGCTGCAATTTCATGGGTCTGACAGGAAGAGAGACACGTTTACAAAGTAAAAGGCATCCGCTTTGAGGGAAATTATAAAATAAAATCTTTTAATTGCATGGGAAAACTGTCGCAACTCCCAGAGTTTAATCATGTGTAAGGCATTTTCTTTTTTTATTCGGTCATTATTTAATACAGCTGGCACAATGGATTGTTAAAATATGGTTATGCACTTTTTTAGGTCAGGATTAAAAAAAAAATACTACCCCTTTATCCCTTGTTTCAAAAGAAAACTCAGTTTTTTAAGAAAATGCTCATCAATTAATCATGTGTAAGCCTATGTGCCACAGGATTCAGTGTTCGGTTACCTTACGTTTTATTTTGAATAATTTTTACCTTTGGCAAAACTTGGCTTCTCCTTTAGCAGTTTGTCGTAATCCCTCCACTGAGTCATTGTTGACATCTTTCTATGAGAACCTGTTCAGATCAGCTCATTAGAAATTGTTGTTAGATTCTAAGCAAATTAGTAAAATATTGTGTTTTTCTCTTTATTTTCTTTAGTTTGCAGACATCGCAGTGCGTTATCATTCCTGCGACCGCTCCAGCTCAGATGACCACTTCCCCTCTTTAACCTCACTGTGCTGCCAGTCCGTCCTCCTCCCAGAGTCCAGGACTAATATTTGTGAGGTTTGCCTCAGACTGTCCGGGCCGAGCCTCCCCAACCTCTCAACGCTCTGCTCATTTCCTTCAGTTTCACAAGGAAACACATATGGGAATCATATTAGACACTGCTGCCTTCACCAGCTACCTTCTCCCATTTCCATAAAAACTTCAGAGGGCTGTAGTTACTTTGTGAACAGCTACAGTCCCTTTACCCAGTTCAGTGCCTGCTGTAAAACAGTAGAACCTCAGCTTAATGAATCTAAAGCCAAAGAGGAGCTTACCTCTCCTCCTGCTCCCTCCATCGCTCCATCCCTCGCTCCCCAGCTGGAGGACGACGGCATCACAGGGCTTCAATGTCGAACTAACAGGACTCTCAGGTTTTATGTGCTGGATGTTGGTCTCAGCTGGCCTCTGGCAGCGAGGCTTGGAGCTTCCAGCTACAGCAACTCGTCTCAACACAAAGAGGCATCCACCGAAGGCGGCAGGAACTGTGATGGGTCGTTTGTAGCAATCGTGAACCTGAAGGATGAGGTTCATTACGTCCTACAACGCAGCCCAGCAGCTACATTGACAGAGTCTTTGGGTAAGGCTAGTTATTAGTAAAACATCAGATGGAACTTTTTGTAGAAAATATCCACAAACTAGGACTTGGCTCAAGAAAGTTAAGGTTGAATGAAATATCTTTTTTTGTTTTCCACTTCATTTGTTATTCTAAATCAGAAGAAAATTAACAATTTTGACTGAAATCCAACAATGTTCATCTTAACCAAAATGTGTCGACCACACACCTGATTGGTGTTTATTGACCAGAACCACTGCTTTTTTATTAACAGTTATAGCTGCAAGTTTAACTTTAACTTGCTGAGCATCGAACTAATTTTCACGTTTTTTTTTTTTTTTTCGTGTTTAGCTCAAAACAAACAAATGGTTCAGTGCATTCAAATATTTTAAGAGGGTTAAGATTAATAGAATATTCTTGTAGGACGTCGGCACTGTATGTTTTCAAAGCACAGCCATGCATACATTTTCATAAAACAATTAATCGAAATAATTGTGATTATTAGATTCGATTATTGAAATCATCAGCTACTAATTAAGTAATCAATTAATCCTTACCTGGAGTATAGAGACTCTAAAATATGCCTTTAGCTGACAGAGTGACCTAGAGCAGCAATTATAACAAAATTGTAAAATAAATAAATAAATAAATGCTTTGCATTTAAGATTAAAATAATGTTTTTCTGCCAGTCAATATGCTCTATCCACAACTCCTAAATTGGAAAAAATGTTTTAATTTCTTTAAAAAATCTTTAAGAAAAATTTTGCTATCAGAATATGAATTGAGAAAATAATCAACAAAGTAATCGATTTGCAAAATAATCATTAGTTGCAGCACTAATTTATTGTCCTGTCTAGAAGAAAAGGAGAAACCAATGTGTGACGTCTGAGACCCTTTGCTATCTTAAGTCGGTACCAAGGCTCAAAAACTTGACTAATGTTCTTTTTTTAGCCCTTTTTTTTTGCTACCGTTTTTTTTTTTTTTTTTTTTTTTTTTTTTTTTTTTTTAAGCTTGAATCTAAGAAATGTAACACCAAGCAGAAGCTGTAACACATTAGGATCCCGCAGCAGCTAACCTCCTTTTCATGTGACTTCAACCTGCTTTTCCTACTATTATTGGCTAAAGTAAATATTTCTGTTTTGGACCTGTCACAATTGATGTAAAAAAAAGTTGTAAGTGTTGTAGGTGAACTAACAGGATGATCTGTTCCTACCTCACCTCTCCACAATTAATTTGGTTGACAGTGAGAGAAGCAGTCCTAAATAAACAGGAGTTAGAGATTAAATTAAGGACATTTATTTATGAAATTCTAGTCAGTTTATTTAAATAGCACAAATTCACAACAAATATAATCTCAAGGCATTTTACACACACAATTCAATCAAATCGTCCAGTCAGATTGGTTCAAATTTTCTATCTAATGAAAACCAGCTGATTGCATCGACTCATTGACTCAAATGCAATCCCTCACACCAAGCATGCTTGTAGCGACAGTGGAGAGGAAAAACTCCCTTTTAACAACAAGAAACCTCCAGCAGAAATGTGTATATCCATGAGACGGCACAAAAACCTGCCTCTTTCCCTAAAAATGTTCAGAAACAGTCTGAAGCATTCACCTCATCTTTTATAAGATACAGAGTTTACTCCTGAGTCTGTTTCTCAAAATACACACCTTGACCAACCTGGAATAATCCTCTGAATCTGAACCTTTTATTTATCATCACAAGTATCTTAGAGCCAGAGGGAGAATGTTATTGTTCTCTGTCTGCAGCTGCGAACAACAGTAGCTGACCCTATAAGCGCAGCTTAGACCAGAGCGATCCCTCAAGCTGATAACTGATAGCTCTTTTCATTAATGGGGTTTGTTGCTGCAATAGATACAGATATTTTTAGCAAACATTAACTTGCTGCTCATTCCATTATATTCTTGAAACATTGTTCTAATGATCTTCAAACATAAGCATACAGCTTCCAGCCTCTATTGGTTTGGACTCAGATTTGTCTGTTTATTTTTCATTTTACGAGGGTTACATCATAAGGCAATATAACTGTGGGCTTATCAATACATTTCCTCTTGTTTAAGGCTATAAAAAAAGATTTTTTACACCTTTTTATTCTATATTTACACGTTCAATTTTTCACCTAGCACCTGACCTTAAATCGGGTTGTTTTAGTTTTGTTTTTATTATTATTTATTTTTATTTTTTTTCACCCTAATCCCAAATGTGTATCTTTCAACAGAGGCGTTCATCAGGAACTTCAGCTCGCCCCACAGCCATCTGCAGAGATATTTGGTTGGAGACGTGGACAGGAAGAAAGGTGGAGATCATGCTGGGCATTTGGAAAAGGAGAAGAAATCTAAGAACCTCCTTATCACAGAGTTGACCACTTCCTCTTTCATGTCATCAGTAATGGACCAGGAAAAGGTGAATAAAATACCTCTGTTTACATCTACACCGCATATTTCTGATGAATGATTTTTTTCTACATGCATCAGAAAATAAAGCTGAAATAACTCAAATCTGGCTAGCTATTAGATATTTTAGAGGGATACGTTTGAAAATTGATTTGGGGATGAAATTACCTAGATGAGGTCTATCTGTTGCTCCATCAGTGATCCATATATTAACTATCTATTGGTTTGCCCCTTATCTAGCCGTCCATCTGCCTTTTCTTTCTCGAGTCTCCATATTTAAATTTATCACCACATTAGAAATTCTTCCCATCAATTCATGGTTGATTCTCGTTTTTTAATTAAATCCGCTGTCATACATCAGTAATATTCTGTAATCTTTTTAAATAACAAATATGCAGGAGCTTTGCTAATAGTTCATCAATATTGACTGGAATATGTTGAGATGATTTTTTAGTTTATAGTACAACAATGTGACAAACTCTAAGTATGAAGAGACTTAAGGCTTTGCAATGCGGCACTATAACTGCAATAACTAATGTGCAATCACTATTTAACTGCCTGTGCAATAATCTGTTAAATCTGTTAATCTGTCTCTTATTTAAATCTGTTAAATAAGAGACTTCAGCTGTTATATATTTATATGTGGACACATTGCACATAATACCCCCCATGCACCTTTTCCTCCTTTTAGCACCTTCTTTTTGACCATTTAGCCAATGTGAAAAGTGAATTTCTCCACTATGAGATCAATAAAGTCTATCGTAACTGTTGCAATCTATACAAAGGGAGGCTCTTTTTCAGCTTTCAGTCGTGTTTTGAATGGAGAACAGAAGTTTGATCATCTCAGAGCTTCCAGGTAATGTGGGTTGGCTCTTTCCTAACAGGATGTGCTGCTGTTCTACTACACTCAGTGGTGCGGGTTCTGCTCCGTCCTCAACCACGTCCTCATCCAGCTGGCCCGACTGCTGCAAGGAAACGGCACTGTCACTGTTGCAAGGTGCAGTTTCTGCAACGCCGTTTTGTTTTGTGCTTGATTCCCTTTCAGTGGTGATGTCAGATGTTCTGGAAGGTCTCTGTTTTTTCTTCAGGGTCAATGTTGCTCGTAATGATCTTCCCTGGGAGTTCATGGTGGATCATGTCCCTTCAATCCTGCTGTTCCCTAAATACAGGTGAGAATATTTACAGCTTTGCACACAATTTTGCCCGTATTTATTGGCAAAAAAAGTTTGAATTTCAGTGCAGTTTACAGTCAGAGTGGGGGAGCTGATATAGTCTTTGTTTTAAATTTTTTTGTAATTAATCTCAGATTCATTTGATCATTCACAAAATGTTCTGTAATTTTCATCATTTTCTTTTCTTAGAGAAACATTTTTTTCCCTTTCCTAGGACAGAAATGGAAAAATAAATACATTAGCATAATTGAATGAAATTGTAAAGCTATAAGGAAAGAAATTTCCGCCTGTTTTATAGGGTTGCTAAGCAGCCTGGAACAGTCTGGACTTCAATGTCAATGATTTCCAGGGTGGGAAAAATATAGAATGAGATATTTGTATGGAAGTAATGTTCCTTATCACACTGTTATGTCCTTCCTTCCTTCATATTCCATGTCATTTTTATTTGGATTTCCTCCCATCACCTTTCATTTCTTCTTTAAGTCCTGTTTCCTACCCTCCTTCCTTACTCTTGCTTTCTTATGCCCAAACCTGCTTTTTTCCCCTCCTATGTTTAATTTTTCCAGGTTTCATATTTAATCACTGCTCGTTATAGGAATATCCACCATAAATTCAGATCACTTTTATTTTTTAGTTGTAATTTCGATTGATTATGACATTGTCACTTATTTTTTTATTTTATACCTTCATGTTGTTTGCAACAATTAACCTGTAGAGGGATTAGCACATGGAAATCAGCCTGTGGTTTACAGCTGCTGGTGAATGATAATGGGGATGAGAGCGTTGGAAGGCCTTACGTAAACATATCACCAGATTGATTGACAATTAGGAGGACCACTTATTTTGATGATCCACACAGAAAAAGAGTGTCCTCCACTATAACTTTAACATTGGTAACATCTGTCCAGTTAATATTCTTCCTCTAGGCCCTGTGGTTCATTCAGTATTTCAGTCTCACTGGCAGCTGTTCCCCACAAAGCCAGGCTCTTAGCTGGTTTTAAATAAGATATAACTTGCCAAGAGAGGTCTAAAAAGTTTGAGATGTGCTCCTGGTGTTTTTTTTTTTTTTTTGCTGTTCCTTTGTTCATTGCATTGTTTGATCTTTCAGAAGAATTTGGGATAATAACTCGGGTTGACTGGAAGCTTTACTTAATATTTTCCAGCTGTGAACAGTCTTATTTTCTGTTGTAGGATATTTTTTATTTATTTATGTATTTGGAAACATTGCACAGATCCTTGAGCAGCAATAGTTTTGTTCTTCTCTGGGATTTTTGATGATGGTCTTCCACCCTTGCATTGTGTGAACAAACTTCTTCTACCAACAAAGCTGCTTTTACACACCTGTTTATGATGCTTTATATATGAGCACATGGCTACCACTTCCTCTGTTCATTCAAATTAAGGTCATATCAGTTTTTCCACTCAGCTGTTAAAATTTGACTATTTTATTAAATAAATAAGGACATTTTGTGGGTGTTTTTTGGTACACTTAAGATACATTTTTGCTCTTTGTAACTTGACTAAATCCCAGTAATAAAGCACACTTTTTTTATGTTGAATTCTATTAGTTATTGTTGCAGTTCTACATAATTTTTCCCCTTTCTTTAAGGAAACATCTTAGTGTGAAGTATCCAGAGGACCTTCCCATCACGCTGCCAAACCTTCTCCGCTTCATCCTGCAGCACTCTGACTCGCTGCATCATCCCAACAGATCCTCCTCAGGAACGCAGGGATCTAGACCCGGCTCCATCCTCCAGTCAGAATTCCTGGCTCTCCAGCGTGAAGTCCAAGCACTGCATCACGCCCGCAAACGTCTCTCACAGCAGCTGGCAGAGCTGTGGCGTAAGAACAGACAGCTGAAGTTTGACATGCGCAGCGTTGAGCAAAATCTGGAGAAGGAGATGCAGGAGAAAAGCCGGCAGCTCGCCGAGGCGCACAGGAGGCTACAGGAACTGGCAGACACTTCTGAGACGCTGCTGAATGAGAACGTGCTGCTCAAAGTCCTGCTGAGGGCCCTTAAGGATAGGACAGAGCCTAGAGGAGAGGCAGAGGCGGAGAAAGAAGAGACAGTACAGGAAAAAAAACAGGTTTCCTGAGTTCAACTCTGCAGGGATGACGGACGGGAAGAGGAACCTAGAAAATGAAGGACTGGGGATGGAGAGGGGAAAAAGCAAGCTGTGATTAGACTTAAGATGCAGAGAATGATTTCACCTGGAAAGAGGACGTCACATTTGCTGTTAACTCTGAGACTAATTGGACTTTTAAAAAGGAGACAAAGATGGAAGGAGTTTCACTAAGTGCTTTGAATCCAGCCACTCGTTGAAACACACTAGTTCAGGAATTCAGTACAAGATTTGCTTCTGAATATTCTTTCTCAGCCAAATGCATCACTTTTGATTCCTGTGAACTTTAAGGATAGTCCCATAGTTCAACACTAATAAAGAGGGAATAAAAAAAACGATTGAAGCCAACAAGTTTGGCTCAGGTGGAAAATAATTCACCTCAGGCTGGCTGCTTCCTGTCATCTTTCACAATAAAAGCCATGCAATTAAACAAATACCGTTATTTTATTAAAGAAGCTACCATATCTCTTTATGTGAACTGAGAAATGGAGGATATTGCTTAAGTCTTTGAGATAAATCTACTGAATGAAGGATCTAATTTACACCGCGATCCCAAGTGTCAGATATAAGATGTTTTCTTGTTTTGGTTGTGCATTTTTCAGTTTTTTTTTTGTTTTTGTTTTTTTGAGGAAATATTTTCCTAAAATCCTGATAAACGCGTAAAAAAAATATTTTTCACAAGTTGTTTTCCAAATTTTTTAGTATGTGTGTCGATCAAAGCAGTCGCAATAATCAAGGCAGATAAGATGCTTCCATGTTTTTATCCAATCAGTTGGACGTTTTCCTAATGACCTGAATGAACCTGCAGATTTTTGTATTTTTTTTAACTCGGATCTCTGCAAAACTTTGTGTAACAAGAACCATTATGTGACATTTTTTCTTCCTTTTTAAGAATGCTTTTAAGCAAAGTGCTCCCTCAGTGAGCTTAACAGCATTTATGTCTGTTTTTTTTTTTATTACTCAGCTTGAAGGGGATATAATGAGGGGGTTTGTTTAAAAACTGATTTATTTTTACAAAAACATTTTAAGTCACTGAGATATTTCTATTTAACATTCAGGGTTTCAGAATGCTGCAGTTGTTTACATGTGAAATATTGCACCAATTTTTACTGATTAAACATCTTTCTGTCTTTTTGATGGTCTTGTTTTAATTTACATCAAGCATCATTAAACATGGTTTCCCTCCCCAGCCCAGTAAAATCAACATGGTCTCATTTCAATCTAATTGCAAAGTCATAACAGATTTTTTTTATAGTTTTAAATCCACAAAAGATGACTTAAAAAAAAAAAAAACATCCCAGGAAATAGGAGTTAACTGCCTTCATTTGCCCTGTAGTTTTATAGGAGAATCAGAACAGGCATGTAGCACACTTCCTCTAAAAAAAAAAAAAAGCACCTCACAAATAGGTCCTCTGGTAAAATTTTGACATAATCTAGAATCACTTTCATATAAAGTTACTGGTAAAAAAAAAAAGAACTCCTATAAGGTGAGACTCTGTTAGAATAGAATTGAATAGAAAATCCCTTTATTGTCCAAATATGGGGAAACTTTTACAGCAGCAAAAGGTTCTTGCTGAAGTGGTCACACAAATGTCGACCTTAAAAAAAGTGTAGAAAAATAAGACATTTTTTACAATATAAATAGGTGCATCTGGAGAATAAATCATATTACAGCTGTGGACATTTTTACAGTATTGGACATGTAGAAATAGCAGCAAAACCAAAGACGTGCAAAAATGACAGCAGCACGTTGTTTAGGTGACTAAGACAGAAACAGCATCTTTTATTGCTAAACAAAATGTTGTGGCAGCTGGTGTCCTAATACAACCCTATCCTGATTCATAGGTTTATAGCAGGGCTCGTCTCATGAAATTTGCAAAGTGGAGGAATAAATTTCTCATTTCTGAAATGCAAATATATTTCCATTATATGCAACCTTAAAATGCAATCAATACAGCATCTTGTAAAATGTCTCACATTCTGACGAATGAATAAAAAGACTGTTAGTGACAGGAAATACAGAAGATTGTGATCTTAGGGACTTAACCTTTACGTGGGGCACATGCTGGTTGGTCCAAAAAGCTGCTTGCAAGAGTTACAGGTGCTTAATTAAGGAAATCTCTGTACTGTGGAATAAAAGATCATCAGTCTAATCTGTTTTATGGCCTTTTTTTTTTTTTTTGCATTCGTCAGAATCAAGAAGCGTTTACATCTGTATAGTTATGTTTAAAGTGAGTCTTTTGGGAGTTTCTTAATGCTCTTTTGTTAGAATTATGCACTTGTGTTTAATCACATGAAATACAATAGAAGTTGTGGTTGCAATGCAGTAAAATAAAAAACACTGTTAGTGACAAAGGTTATGCTGTTGGAACACTGCTCTGCTCAGAGGAGAACTGAATTCCACGGCTAATTTGGATGAACAGGAACATGTGCTGCTAATTCCAGACTGAATATAGCAGCTTCTGTCTTCTCCAAGGGTCACAAGTCTATCAGAAAGAGAAACCTTTATCTGCTATCACACTAAGTGGATATTTTATTTAAAAAAAAAAAAACTTTTTGTTTTGTTTTTTCTGTCGACGAATAAAAGCCATGCTGCTATACAAACCATATTTATTGTTTAGATGTAGATCAGCCAGAGGAAACATTATGATAAAAATGTTGAGTCCAGTGCTGTTTATACTCTTTCGGAGCATCTCATGACTCCAATGAGGAGGAGGTGTTTCCCTGCAGAGCAGCATCTTTCTGGGATTATTGGCCAGTCTAAAGCCAAACTCATCCATCTCAGACTGTAAGTAGTAGTTCAGAATCCCTTTTTACGATTTTGATTTTGTGTCACTTGGATTTATTTATTTATGGGATCCATTTAATATAAAATGACCTTGAATCTGTTTCCTAATGGAGGCTGACAAATATTCTACAAAATAGTACTGCTGTACAATTATGGGGCTGTTTTTAACATGTTTTAATGGAGAAATACAGTTTATATTGTATTTTTATTTCTAAAATCATGTTTTTTTTCATTTCATTATAAATAATATGGATTTTGTGCTGTACCTGTTTTTACAGGAAAAATGTCTAACATACAAGTAGCTGTTGGTGAGTTAATAACATCATTTTTTTATGTTTCAAAAATGAATTTTTTCCCCCCTATCGCTCTTTTCTTTAAATCCCTTGTTCTCTGCAGCAACAGTTGGCCCTTTAGGAGACAATCCAGTTCAGATTGCCTGCCCAAAGTGCCACCAGACGGTCCTCTCCAAGGTGGAATATTCCTCTGGATTACTCACCTACCTCTTCTGTGGAGGACTCTTTCTCTGCGGGTAATGTGTGCGGGAGAGTTTTTTGAATAATAATTTTGCAGTAGTTAAGATAAATGTCTGAGTAGGTTAGCAAAAAAAAGAAAAAAATTCATAGTTCAAAATTTTTTGCACAAAGGAAGCAAAGAAATTAATTACCAATATTGATACTTTTGCTTTGTCAAGCTCCATGCATATAATCGTTCGTATTTCAAACCTAAATTCACAAAAAAAAACCAATGATGCTTATAAAATCAAAGCAATGTTACCTTTTAAAAAAGATCCTCAACTCATCTCCTATAAATGTAAGATTAAATTTAAGATACTATCACAAAAGGTTTCTTTAGTTTGATCAGCGAAAATGAAGAGCGTAAAGAATTAACCAGATGAAGTGTTGCTGTTTAACTTTTTATAACGCAGGTGTGGACAAAGTTATATTAAACGTCATAAGCTTTTTTGAAAACACTAGGTTTTCCTATAAAAGTGATGCCAACCCTTTTTTAAAAACGGAAAGTTTTAATTTCTTTTGTTGTGTGAATTTGAAAGCAAAGTTTTATTCGCTTATTATTGATCTTGTTTATTCATTAATGCCTATGATTTGTTTAGGGGTCCTTTAAGTCATGCCAATTTCTGATGCCTTCTCCTGTAAAAGGGTTAGGAATATCAAGGCTTTATTTAAATTCTGTGCTACTTTTCTTTTTATACCAAACATTATTGTTGATGGTCAAAGTCTGATCCCCCCTATGAAAACTTTTTATAAGCACCCTGATTTATTGATTACAAATAAGCACATCTGAGGACATTTCTCTGCTGGTGAGGAGTGATAGCCCATCAGCTTAATTACCCACCAATAATAACTAATTCAGGTCTAATTAAAAGGTGGTTTATTTTATGCATTGAGTTTAGTAGGTGGTTCTGAATATATATCTATTTTGTTCTCCAGTTTTGTTTTAGGTTGCTGCCTCATCCCGTTCTGTGTGGACCGTCTGAAAGATGCCAAGCACACCTGCCCAACCTGCAAGACTGTCCTGGGAGTGTATAAACGCCTATAACCAAATCTGCAGCTATAAGCTGTCGGATAGGTTAAATGCAACCTGATCTGAAAAAAAAGCAAAAATATTTTTTAATTAAATAAGAATTGTATTAATTTCTAAATTCCTATTCCTTGTAATGAATGAGGGTGTACTAAATGTGTGCTGCAGTTTCACCACTAGATGTCATCTGAGCCCAAAAAATTGAGTTGTACCTGTTCATAGAAACATTAAAAAAAATGTTTAATTTAACTGAAGAAATTAAACAACGATATTGATACATCTTTTCAATCTTTTGAGAACAAGTAAACTGGGCAAAATAAATGCTTTTCAAATATTTGTATTTCATTATTGATCTAAAAAGTGAACCTTAATAAAAGACACTGGATTTATTGGAAAATACAGACATTTGCATTGTTTTAACCTGTCCAAAACACATGACCTCACAGATAAGTGTTTGCATTAAACAGATATTTATTAGTCAGTATAAGTTTTATCCTTCAATTTTTACAGAAGCAAAATGTAACAGGTTACAGAAAAGAAGCTAAATCAATGATTTTATTTTAAGTGTTCACAGAGCCAACCTTTACATGATGAATCATAAACAAAATTAATACCAGTAATAAAAAGTACATCTTTTATTAAATAAACCAATAGAAGAGGGGTTAAAATAGAGAATTTGATAATCATAAGCACAATATTGGCACATATTCTTGTTCAATAGATACACCGCCTGACATTTTCATTAAGACATATCGTAGATAAAAGTCCCTTTGATCCAGTTATTGATTTTTAGCCTACAGTGTGTTCATAGTGAGCAGCCATGCGTTCCCTCAGATCTGCTGGGAAGAGATGAGCAGTCCCAGGAAAACCAGGAAGGTGAAGCAAGCAACGTCTCCTTGCATCCGGACTCCAGCAGCTAAAACAGAAACAGGTTTTAGAGGCTGAGAACGAGTGCAAACCAGTCATTTTAAGCAGAACACATCACATGTAATATTTGGTGTTAGCTGCGAGCAAAGTTGCTGTGCCGTTGTGTGATAGCTATAAAACATTTCAACAAACAGCTGGTCAGTTTGTCTAATATTTGAGCTGTTTTTAGTTTGTGTATTCCTGAAAGGGGTGTATGATTTTACAAAAGATGAGTGATCTCATACTGTAGGTAAGTATGCTTAAAGCAGTTTAGAAATCTGCTGCAACAAAAGTGTGTATTTTCAGTTCACTTTTATGGACCAGACAGGAACCATACCAATAGGAAGAATGCTGTAAGATATGCAGCCTCTGGAAAAATGCTACGAGAACAGTGTAATCCACGCTCAATGCTAAAGATGAGTAGGAAACTGCCACCCTGACATTAACCCTTTAGGGCAATCAAAAAAAAATCCAATTTATAAGAAATTGCACATCAACCCTAAGCTTAAATATTCAGAATTGCCGGCTCGTGCATAGAGGTTGGTTACAGCTGCAGTATTCAACAGTTAATTTTGATATCTCTATCTCATTAAAGTTTAATCTCCATTCAAGCTGTTGCCTTTTACTCACAAGCCACTGCTTCCTATTTTACTACGTGTGCTGATGTGTTTCAAAATGATTGAAATCTGAGTCTAAATCTTCAATAGGACTCACCTGTGGTAGTTGTGGTAGGTGTTGTGGTAGCTGTGGTAGTTGTTGTGGTTTGGACATTTAGGCCATCTTTTGTGACAGACTGTGTAGTAGCCTTGGTGGTTTGGGAGTTGGTTGTTGGGTCCGCTCTACCTCCCACAAGGTTTATTCCCAGCTTGTCCAGGTCTGACTGTAATTGATTTGTGATCCAGCTTCTTACTACTGGATTGTTTTCAAAGCTCTTCAGATCTGCCAGGTTGTCACCAACCAGTCCTTTAACTTGCTCAACAGTCAGACTCTACGAAGGGCAAAAGGAGATCAACTTTTACACTCAATCACAATGAACCAAGCAAAATAAAGGTTTAATGGGAAATTATGTTTAAAAGCTGGATGACACTGACCTGTACAACCTCCTCATCCAGGTTAACAAAGGTCCGAAGGTCCATATTGACGTTAGAGCCGGACAAACTTTGGATATACTCAGAAGGTGCACCCCCTGAAGGACCAAAGAAAAGTATGTTTCCCTAACGCTTTTTTTTTTTTCCAAGAGAAAGATTTATATTTATTGTTGGAGGTATGTGTGTGTTTGTGTCTGTCTGCTCACCCAGGTATGGCTGTAAGAGCTGGAACACTGAAACAGAGTCTGAATTCCTCGAGGTTATGAACGCTTGTCTGGCAGTGTTGAAAAGGGCTCTTTGTTTTTCTGAGGTGCAGTTGGACACATCCAACCCTTCTGCGTCCCTGAGATAAAAAGGAAGAGAATCTTTAAAATGTGTCACTGAAACATGAATAAATCCATATAATATCAAGCTAAGGGTACGCTATAGGCCTACTACATCTGAGATCTGTTCTAGTGCTGTGCTTTTATGAGCAAAAATGTTCTAAAACTCTGGGATAATGCTTATCAGACATGAGCAACAACAGAGATGCAACAAAGTAATTGTTCTCCCAATGTTAAGTATCTCCAACAAGTCTCAAGTAGGGGTATGAAAGTTTGGATGCTCTACTTTTGTTTAGGCTGAGGTATAAATGTGATCACAGCAAAAAAATATAATACTATGGCAAGCTCTAGAAACGGAAGGAAGGAAGGAAGGAAGGAAGGAAGGAAGGAAGGAAGGAAGGAAGGAAGGAAGGAAGGAAGGAAGGAAGGAAGGAAATGAGTACTTACCTTATGTTCTGGCTGGAAATGTTTCTAAGAACCTCAATATCCAAAGAGCACAGGTTTTGTCCTCCGATGGCATTAAGCTCTGTGCTGCCAAGTTCATTGCCATTTACGCTCAGATACTTAGAGATAATAGCTCTGGCCTGAAGCAGAAACAGGCATTCATGTAAACAGCTAGGCAGGGAAGTGTCACATACAAGTACGAAACATTGAACTGTTTGCTCACCAAGCTTGGATCCAACTCTCCATTTGCTGTGTCCATCAAAGCTGCGAGCGTGTCAACTTGAGTGATTTCCCATGTACTGACCTCATCAGCTGAGGCAAATCGGGACGCCACGCCCAAGAGCTGAACCTGATCTTCAGGGATGTTGGTGGTGTAAGCCTGCAAGAATGTCGCAAAGATAAAAGATCATGAATAAGAAAAGTGAAAAATGTAAACATAGATAGTTTTGCTTGTGTCTGGATAATCAAAATACATTGTGAAGACATTGGTCTGATCATACAGATCCTGAATTTAATTTAGCCTAATCATATGTTTTGGAGAATATGACTAAAGTCCTTTAACCTAAATATTATAACTCTAATCTTATTGGGAGTAAAATAAAATCTTGCCAATAAGTCAACATTTCTGGTGAAACCCATATGGGAAAGACATGGGCTGAAATATATACCAGATGGGATTGTTGTCATGGTTTGGGCTCTATTTAAGTTTTATGTTTGATTTTTCAGTGGTTTTATTTCCATTTTGTTATTCTTGTTATTTTTGATTGTATTTGAGTTCTTAAGTATTTCTTCTGCTGATTAGTCTGGTCTTTGTTTCCCTCTCCCATATTTGCACCTCCTGCTCAGTCACTGTTGCTGTTTTTTGTCATTTCTTTGCCCCGTTGTTGTGAGTATTCCTGGTTTTCAGTATTTTTGGATTTTGTGGATTATGTATATTATGTATATTATTTTTGTTATCAAACCTGCAAGAAACCACTTCAGCTTCAGTCTCTGCGTTTCGGTCCTCTTCAAACCTCAACCTGACAATTGTCAGTTAGTTCCAATTTCAATTAAGTTTTTTTTTTTTATTATTCACTGTCAAGGTTTAGATCACATTAACTCTGAATAAAAGGTTGGATCAATATGTGTCATTAAGACTATTTTTTTATGGGATGGTGCTAAGACCCACAGAGGGAGGCCTAAAGGTTTGATTTGACTAAACTGGTTCTAATCAAGAAGTGCATTCTGAACCTGGACTCATTTAGTAACCATCCATCATATACTAACCCATTAATGACTCATATACTATATTTTGTGAGAAATATCCAGATGGAGCAACCTTTAAATGATTAGTCCCTTGATTGACCAACCTCAACAGACACTACCTCTGAATGTTAAATGATATAGATTTTTTTTTTAAACTAAACCTCCATAAAGCAACATTCATGCAGACATTGTTTTTCAAAGTCATGTCTTAATTTTCCTGCATGTCATGCATACTGAAACCGCTTCACATGCCGCTTACATTATTTATTTTCTGAAAGAATCTAGGTTCTCCCTAAAGATGACAGCTGTAAAAGAGAGATCATGCTGGTAGCTGTTGTTTCATGTCATCTGAATCTCACTAAAATACATCGCAAGAGATTAATGTAATGTAATGTAAACCTTTATTGTCCCACAATGAGGAAATTTGTTCTCTGCATTTTGACCCATCCCCTTAGGGAGCAGTGGGCTGCCATTGTGTGGCACCCGGGGAGCAATCAGGGGTTAAGGGTTTTGCTCAGAAACCCAGAGTGGAGGCTGTGGGGATCGAACTGTATACTTGCAACCTGCTCTAACAACTAGGCCAACACTCCCCATATATAAACTTATATCAAAACAAAGACAAATAAATCCCCTAAAATTGACTAAAGGTGAATTCAGAGACAATTTCTGGAGGATAGTATATGTAAATACCAGGTTATGACTCTTTAAATCAACAGGAAAAATGAAACACTAATGTATTCAAGAAAGTGTTAGATTATGAAATCATTGGATAATTTACAGTAAAGCAGAAATAAGTCATTTTTGAGTTACTAATGCCAGCAGCCTTATATTGGGCTGCTCTAAAGCTATTTGTCTTAAGGCGAGAGCCAGATTAGAGCTGGACACTACGACTGGGTCAGTGGCGTAGAAATAAGCAAGTTTCCACACCACAGTAGGAGGAGATGACCGACCATTTAACTGTCTATAAAAAACTGTTTACCATCATAGGAACTTAGGAAGAAGATATATTAACTTAAAAAAATTTGGCTCATTGCTGCTTCAATGGCAGCCTTCCATGACTTGGCAGCCTCATGATAGACTAAAATATGAATGCTGTTTTGTAGAAACCCCAGCTGAGAAAACCTATTTTCTGCTGCTAGAAATTGCTGTGTAACAAATCAAATATTGCCCATTTACATTAATGTAATTTTCACATCTTTAAATAAACCATGTCCTTTTGAAAATGCTACTCAACCAGGTCATGAATCTTGCTGCCTTCTACTCTCTATCAGGGGCGGATTTAGGAAATTTGGGGCCCTAGGCAAAGACAGGCAGGGGG